GTGTGTGTGTGTGTGTGTGCGCGTGTGTGAAAAGGGGGGAGGGTCCTTTTTTTTAGACGACTGTACTTGGCAATCAGCAGCTACGGAATCATCATCAATGCCTGTTTTGGGGCCAAATTTTGCAAATTGGGTTTATTACATATTATAGTACCTGGACATTTCCTGAAAGATATCCAGAAACGCATGTAAGCCTTGCGACACCCTAAAGATGTGTTTTTTTTGTCAAGTGTTTCTGCAAAAGCAGATGTTTTCTAGCCTTTTCTTACCTGTATCGGCTGTTTTCTCACAATTCTCTTTTTTATACATTATCCCATTTTTCTGCTCTGTTTCTAGTTCAATTTCAATATAACTTTCACAGGATACCAACAAAACCTAGTTCTAAATTTGGCATGTTGAATTTTTTAAAAAATTAATTGAGTAGTTTTTGATTTATGCGCGTAGAAAACATGAATTTTCAATTTTTTTCACTTTTTTTGCAACATCCCAATTGTAAGTGTCATAAAATCAAACCAAAGCATATATAAAAAATTCAACAAGCCAATTTTAAGAGCTACATATTCACTGTTGGCATGCCAAATTAGAAGTGAATCGGTTAATAAATAAGGGAATAAAATGGGATGAAAAAGGTATACAAAATCCATTATGGCTGCCGTTTCAATAGCAACCGATTCACAATATACTTTTTGAACACACGATGTCCCACAGCAAATATGGACACTCTAGGCTTTATAATAGCCAAAATAGACATCAGGTGCCCCACCAGCCCTTAAGGAATAATTCATGCATCGTGTAAGCCTTTATATGCTTAAGTTTATCTTTTTAACATGATAAAAAAACAACTCAGTTTTCATGGTTAATTGGATTGCCATTTTGTTTTCAGACCCCGCTCGAAAACTTGACCATGGTCTTACTGAACGGACCCTCTGTTCTGAAACCTCTTGTGGCTGTATTTCTAGTACTCTTCTACACACACATGGACGTGAGAGGAACACTCGCCAGACTACGAAGTGGACACGCCTCCTTGCTAAACACAGGGAAGAGAATCGACACCAACATAGTGAGGGGCCCAGTCCCCGTGGCTTCAGCGATTTTTTGTACGCAGTTGTGTCTTATGGAACCGTCATGTACATCGTATTTCGTGGTGGAAAACCATACGATATACTGCCAAATGCACTCAGTTGTCTTCATGAGCCCAACAGACGATGGGACCCCAGCACTGAACACGTTGTATTACCAGCTCACCCAAGGTAAGGCTATCCTGGAGGTAAAAAGCGAGAGGAGTGGAGGTATGGGAAACATTTAAGTTGTAACGACGTCCTTGTTACTATCGCTGTAAGTTATGACAGTTGTTTCTGATAGCACCCCCCCCCCCTACTTGATCGAGGCTGTCCCAGAACGGATAGGAACATGGCTAGATTTAAATAACCAGTTTATATTTTGCAATTCTTTTTAAAAAGTGGAATTCTCAATTTAGGCGTACCATTTCAATGTAAAAATATGTAAATAAAAAAGAATTCAACGATTTTACTCTACCACAACAATGGTGCAACTGCTGAATACCAAATGGGTGTAAAGAAGATATTAAAACTGAAATTCTTTTTGTTGGGGTGGGGGGTACTCTCGTGATCTAAGGAGTCCCGGGACATGGCAGCGACAAACAAATTTTCTTCTCTAAAGATTTATCCTTTCACCTCCTTTCCTGTTTTCTTGTCCTGTTCTGTAATCTACTTTTATTTTCACTTTCTCCCCTTATCCCTGACCTCCTCTTGGCTCCTCTCTCCTTTATTGAAAACTCTTTTTACTGCTGTTCATGGCTCTGTCTTATTACTATCTCTTAACCACACTCCTTATTTTAGGGTAGGCAAGACCGTACACTTACCCTTCTCGGATATAGGTGAAAAAACCTCGGAGGTCTCATGTGCAAGTCACAGATCCCCCAATGCTCCTGAAATCGATTATAAGAGTACGCTTCGGACACTACCCGGGCAAAATTCAAACTCAACTCCTACCAAAACTGAAAATACTCTAGTCAGTATAAAAAGTATGGAGGAGCTTTGAAGACGGGATGTGGCTGCCTGAAGGCAAAGGGCCCTACGAAGAAGGAAAAACGGTCACAGACGTAAAAGCCAATTGAAATATTGAGATGTAACAGGGGAAGTGCAATTCGGCTTCTTTACGTAAAAGGGAAATCCAATTGAAATTCAGACAGAACTTGAAAGTGTTAGGGTGAGACTATTTAAAGCACGTTAGAGGTCTACCATAAGTGTTTAAAGAGGAACATAAAAATCTACACTCCGAGCAAATTAGAGGCTATCATTAGTCTGCTACACATTCACAAAAAAGTACTTAATGCATTGAAAAAAACTCATTAATAATAATAATAATAATAATAACAATTATAATAATAATAATAATAATAATAATAATAATAATAATAATAATAATAATAATAATAAAAATAATAATAATAATAATAATAATAATAATAATAATGATGATGATGATGATGATGATAATAATAATAATAATATTAATAATAATAATAATAATAATAATAATATGTGACTGTTCATGGGACTACGTTCATAAATTAATAAAGAGAATGTCAAGCCTGCTAACTATGTAGGTTGTATCTCAATCACGACAAAACGTTTCATTTTATAGCCATATTGGTTAATTCTGGGACAGTAATCGTACTAATCTCTAGATATGACTATAAATGCTTTGTAAGACACTTGAGGGGAAGATGACTTGGGGAGGAAGATAATCCACCCCTGTGAACCAAAAAATATGTTGTGGCGACTGCAGGGTACGATTAATTGGACTGAAAGAGTATCCCATCAGCCTATACAGTTCAACACAACCGGCAAGCCTTGGTTTCACACAATTACCTCAAATTCCACGTTTTCTTTAATTCCTTGCATGTATATTGGTCTCTCCCTCAATGTCAAAACCTCTTAGGGGAAATAGTACATTATGGCCCGCTGTTACTACTGCAATCCTTATTACAGCCTGGTGTTGCGGCTACTATATGTACTTCCACTATAAGTGATGCTGCTAAAGCTGCTGCTGCTTCTGACATGGCCACTGCCAACTTATCTATCACTGCTCCATTCCAATCTCCCCGGCCACAAAATAACCAAACAAACACACAAACAAACGAACAAACCCCCCCACACACAAACGCACACACACACACAAACGCACACACACACACACACACACACACACACGCACACACACACACACACACACGTTGACAAAAAAGGCAGACTAGAAACGAGAGATGGGCCTAAATTTTGGAGAAGAAAATATTTATATCGTAACATTTCTAACTATATTGATTTGCACCTATACTTGTCTTCCCGTCATATCATAACCACATTTATTTGTGTAGAACAGTGGTTTTCAAACTTTTTTCGCCCACCGCCCCGTTTTTCACCCAGCCGAGTCCGAGCGCCCCCTACTCCGCCCCAACCATCAATCTAACATAATGACATGCATAATATAATAACAATCACAAATAAAGAGAGAGCTCAAACAGCAGGGTAGAAAGTAACGTGTCTAAATTCTAATAATTTAGTTCTGAATATTAGTTGGGTCACAAATCACCATCTTTACAGTCTTAAATTAAGCGTGAACAAGAGATAATAAAGCACATTTTTCTTCAATCTTATGCAAGGGCATTGAGAGCAAAATACTGTCATTTTTTGCATATAATTGTCATCGGTACTAAACGACCAGTGTTATTAACATCAATAAAAATAAAAATTGTATTATCACATTTACAGAAGCAAAACGCCACAAAATAAACAAATAAATCAAAACGCCCATGATCATTGGTTTGAAAACAGATTGACATTATCTTTATGAAACTTTTCTCCCATCAACGTGCTGCAATGTAGTGGCCTGAGATTTGTATCAAATATCTCCATTGTAGAAAATAAAAATATTATTAAGTTGTCCAGATGTGAGAAACCACACGAAAGAAAAAGTATGCATGAATCTTAGTCTGCAATTACCACCATCATCGTCATCATCATCTATCATCATCATCATCATCGTCATCATCATCTATCATCATTATCATCGTCATCATCATCATCATCATCATCATCATCATCATCATCATCATCATCATCATCAGTTTCATCAGCAGTGGCAGCACGTGCACATAAAAAACTCTGTTAAACAAGTGAATGTTTTGCTTTAAAAAAAAAGGAAGAAAAAAAAAGACACATTGAGATATCAAGTAAGGGTAAACTACGGAGTAAGCATGCGCAAATAAGTTATTGAAACTACCCTAATGGGAAGGATGGACATGCTAAGACGGAACCAACTTATCAACATCAGGTTTCAGATTGGTCAGTAGCAGAGGCAAATCTCTACGCTTCGGCAGCAAACTTGTCACTGCACTGAATCCCCTTTCCACTAGATAGGAGGCGGGAAAAGAGATGAACAACAACTTGATCTTTTCCCACTTTGAGGGGCATTTGTCTTGCACAATAGTTTTCAACCAGAATGACTGGTACGGCTTTTTGAACAATGGTTTGATTTCAAAGTCACATTTCATCGCCAGAAGCTCTTCTTCAATTGCTACTTGCAAGTTATCATCTGTTTCAGTGTTCAATGGGTCCAGTATCCAGCATGGAATTTCCAGTTAAAAAAATATCAGGAGGCTAAACCTTGTCTTCATATCAGCATGCAAATCTCTGAGGTGGTTGCTATATATTTTTGTAGGTCCTCGTCAGAAATGCGCCCTTCTTTCAGTGTCTCCGCCAAGCTAGGAAACTGAGAAATTTTCTTCTGCCAATGTTTCGGCGGATCATTTCCAGTTTCGACAAGAATGACGAAAGCCTTGATCAGATTGGTGCCATCCCCCTGCAGCTGAAAGTTGAACTGGTTGAGCTTTGTAAAAAGATCTGTGAGGAGCGCAATGTTGTTCTTGTGTTTTTTCAGTCTATTGCAGAGATCACTGTCTGTTTCTTGAAAAAAAAACCCAACAACTCCAGCTCAGAGTCAAACAGGCAGAACAATAATCGTGTTCAACAGTTTCCCTTCGAGAGCTACCAGACTTCAGTGTGCAAAATTAAGCATTGAAAGTACTCGTCATTTTCAGTGCGCAGCTGTTGAAATAGTCTCGAGTTCAAAGCGTGGGCTTTGATCTTGTTCACACACTTGATGGCAATGGCCAGTGTGTCCTGCAGACTTTCATTCAGGTTTTTTTCCCCCACCAAATTCTGTCTGTGAATGACACAGTAAACAGTAAATACTCCATGGACTGATTTCTTCAATAAGTTCATAAATCTACGTTTCCGACCTGCCATCGACGGTGCCTTTTCTGTTGCATAGGCAACTGTATTGGTCAGAGGGATCTGTTTCTCCTCGAAAAATTCTTGGACCACTTTGAAAATGGACTCGCCTTTGGTATCTGTTTCCAACATTTTCGCAAATAACAATTCTTGCATTATTTCCTCACCCTCTATGAACTGATATCCAGTTAAAGGCTGAGCTCACGTCCTTTCAGCATTTTGCACTGTGATTCCTCAACATTTGCTAACATCTCATCAATACGTCTTTGAATGGTATTGTCAATTAGTTGGAGAACTTTCAACACAGGCTCCGGGGCACGTTGCAGGACTGTGCTGACCACCTCTCTTATCGAAGGCAATATGAGGTCCTCACCAATAGCATGGAGTTTGCCTGCCTTTGTAATTAGCTGAGATAAATTATATGTTGCTCGTAAGCCTACATCAGCTTGATCGGCGTTGGCTGCAAACATCGGTTTAACTGATTTTCATTTCTGAAAATTGATCTTTAGAGTTTTGAAGTATGCCAGATCTTTGTCAGATTTGTGTTGACGAATCTTCTTTATATGGGATTTGCGGGCAGGAAAAGAAAGTTCTTAGTTATAAGTAGTATTGTAAACTGTGCCTAAACTATCTATTTTTGTTTTTGTTTTTTATGTGGCTTTTTTCCCTACATCATGTTTAATGTTGCATGTCATGAAAATTTCACACCGCCCCCTTAGCGCCCACCAGCGCCCCCCAATCGCCCAGTTTCGCCACAGCGCCCCCCAAACTCTCGCCACCGCCCCCCTGGGGGCGGTAGCGCCCACTTTGAAAACCACTGGTGTAGAAGTACATGCATATGGTTGAGAAAAGGGTCCTTGAAGCATTTTCGAGTGCCGCTTCACGCAGGCGTTATAAGTGGGATACAAGACAACAGCGTGAGGTAGGATCAGAAGTATTGATGAACAGCGTGAGGTAGGATCAGAAGTATGGATGCTGTTTGCTGCATTTCAAAACTCGCTGAAGCATATTAATATTTATGCGCCTAGGGAAAAGAAAACGAAAGAACAAAAAAGAAAAAGAACTTTACGTTCCGTACAATAGACTTCATGGCTACTGAGCACTTTGACACGTTTTCTTCTCTGATGACTTTGACAAAGAGGGTTGCAGCATCACAATGCAACAAAATGAACAATTTTTGTGTAATTACTGCGACATTTTCCTGTTGTTGAAACGTTGGGGATTATCTCTACAGAATATATTTTCCAGACATTGTATCTTTTATTTTATCGCTTCAAACTGTTCAAAACAGTGCTATGCGTTCAGTTTTACAAAAAAGAAAGCGAGACTGCTAGGCCTCTTTTGTGGACACTGCACTGGCTTCCTGCTAAGAAAAGGATTATGTAGGGCCTACAGGCACAAGTTGTTTAAGAAAAGAACTATGAACATGCACAAGTTGGCTTCTTAATGTCACAAAATGCTAGAATGATAATGCACCATCATATTTTTCAAATCTGTTGAAACTGTACCTTCCAACTCGCAGTTTAAGGTCAGCAGCTGACAAAACGAAAATTTTCTGTTACCATCTTTGAAACTGAAAGTAATGAATGAAACGGCATTTTTATGTAATGTCCCCAAGATCTGGAATGCTTTGCCCAGTAGTTTAAGAGAGATCAAATGTTTCATTCACCCAAATGTCAGCTTAAGTCATTTCTGTTTTTAAGTTGATGATAAACACACATAACACAGATATTTAGTCAGATTGTACTGTTTCGCTGTTGCTGCTGTGTTTGTAAAACGCCCAGTGCCGGTGTTCTTTAGGGGCTGAGTGCTATATAATTGTCAATTATTATTATTATTATTATTATTATTATTATTATTATTATTATTATTATTAATATTATTATTATTATATTATTATTATTATTATTATTATTATTATTATTATTATTATTATTATTATTATTATTATTATTATTATTATTATTATTTTAAAAATTGTTATTACATTGTGTATTATTATTTGAAAAATTTTTTATTATTATTATTATTATTATTATTTACATTATTATTATTTACATTATTATTATTTTTATTATTTTTATTATTATTATTATCATCATCATTATTATTATTATTATTATTATTATCATCGTTGTTATTTTATTTGTAAAATTATTATTATTATTATTATTATTATCATTATTATTATTACTACTACTACTACTACTACTACTACTACTACTACTACTACTACTACTACTACTACTACTACTACTACTACTACTACTACTACTACTACTACTACTACTACTACTACTATTATTATTATTATTGTCAAATTTATTACTATTACTATTATTATTATCATTAATTATCATCACATGATCATATTATACAAATTATTATTATTGTTATCATCATATCATCCTTATTATTTCCTACCAAGTTATTTTGTTAAATTCACCCACACATTTGATCTAATGTCTTGTAATCTTTTGCACTTGATAATACAGATGTATTTTCGAGAATTCGTTACTGTTGAAGAACAGGTTTAAAATCATCAACATTTTTGGAATGCGCACTGTTTACAGGGACTGATGTACTTTGTATACAATTATTGTTAATATAATACGTTTGTAGCAAATCTTACGGGTTTCTTTTTAAACTAACCGACAGAAGTATTAAATATTGCAAATAGATGAATTGGCAATAAAGTGTTAGCCAAGGTAAGGGTTACTTTGTTGGCAAATTTTAGGAGGGGAAAAAAAGATTTTGCACTGTTTTCTAATGGCTTTAATTAATTGACACATAGAGACGCGTGAGTTCTTTTTCCAACTCCAGATTCATTTTTCTCACTCTCCACCTCTCCCTCTCTCTCTGTTTCTGTCTCATCCCCACCCACGTGCAGACGGCTGTCCTCTCACGTTCGTGCTATACAGACCCCTGTCTCTGTGTTACGCTGTGTGGACTCAACTTTCAGACTGGTCATCCGCCCAGAGCACTTGTCAAAGCGTCGGCGCTCATCTTGTGCACGTGAGCTCCCCAGAAATCTCACAGCACCTCTCTGACTATTTCAAAGCGTCATCAGGTAACCCCTCTGGCCATGTTTAAGCTTCACGTATTTTCTTCTTGTTCTTGTTCTTGTTCTTCTTGATCTTCTTCCTCTTGTTCTTCTTCTTCTTCTCTGAATTTTTTTTATCCTTCTCACTGAGTGATAGCAGGTGGTAGGCGGGTGCTTCGGTCCTTCTTTCCTATCGTTCTTATCTCTCCTCTATCATTTCTGTGCATGTTACTCTTTAGTAAAACCTTTAATCTTCAGTTCTTATACGTCCTAACTGTGTTGCAAGTACCGTAAAACTCTTACTAAAACTAAGAAAAAAACAACCATTCACCCTTTCCCCCAAAACAACCAACAACCCCCCCCCAACAAAAAACAACAACAACAAACCAACAAACAACAGCACCCCTCCCCCGCAAAAAAGCCCCATAAAAAAACTCTTACGTGAGCGAGAGAAACGTATAGAAGCCTACACTTCATACACAATTGCAAGTTCCACCACTGCTTTGTCTTCCCCAGTGTTTCAGCAGCACCACATCGCCATCGGTGTGACGTACTCGGGTAGCCAGTGGAAGTACACGAACGGCTCTTCAGCAACCTGGTTGAACTGGGCGAGTGGGGAACCAAGCCACATTACAGAGGAGTGTGTCGTGATGGCCTATTTCTACGATTACAAATGGAACGACGTTCCATGCAGCGGAGCCAGCAACTATTTCGTATGTCAAATTGACATGTGAAGATGTCATCTTCGGCACAGAGAACAGGATAATTTTGGTTCTGTTTCCCTGCATTGTCCACTGCAGTTGTCATTGTCACAGTTTTGCTGTTATAACTATCTTGCTATCAGTAAATTGTTTTCTAGCTGTCAAAAATTGTTATACATTGTTGCGGTCTGATTATAACTTGTTATTAAGACTTTTTATGTAACAGCTCTGTCTATTCTATCATAACTCAACGCTAGAACTTCTGCTGCTGCAATACCTGTTATTCTTGTCACTGTCGTTGTTGTTGTTGCTACTGATGATGACGATGTTGTGGTTGGGTTAGCTACTGTTGCTACTACTGATAGTGATAGGGTTGAATGACGTGTTTATGAAAAAGAAATGGACCTTGCTGCATAAACGCGCTACGGGGAATGCACGGTCCCCAAGTTGGCAGCACTAGGCGACAGAACAGTCCCCCACGAAACCCCCCCCCCCCCCCCCC